AGGATAGATCTTTTTTCCTCTCCCAAGTAAAATAGGATGATCCATATCTGTTCAAATACTATCCTGATCAGATCTTTAGGAGGTGTGTTCCCACTGGAAACTAGGAGTATTCTATCTTTTTGTCTGAGCAAGCATGTAGGGGCCATTTTGGCCCAAGAAAACAACTAAAAAAATTCTCCAATGAGGGCTATACTAGCCCACTCTTTTCAAGGATTCATACGAGTTTTGTAAAACCTGTAACCACTGTCAGCTTTTAGAAAAAGTCACTAGAAGAAATATGATGCCCTTACAACCCATCTTATCTGTTAAACTCTTTGATTTGCGGGGTATCAATTTCATGGGTCCATTTCCAAATTCCTTTGGAAATGTTTACATTCTAGTAGTCGTCAAATACATGTGAAAATGGGTTGAGGCGGTAGCTTGAAAAACTAATGACAATAAGGTTGTTGTCAAGTTTCTGAAGGAGAATGTTTTTGCACATTTTGGAGTGCCCCAAGTGATCATTAGCGACAACGGTACATATTTCTATAACCGTTCTTTTGAGGCTTTGATGAGGAAATATTCGATCACACATAAATTATCAACTCCTTATCACCCCAGACTAGTGGTCAAGTAGAGGTCACAAATAGGCAAATCAAACAAATCTTAGAAAAAATAGTTAATCATAATAGGAAGGATTGGTTTGTAAAATTATGTGATGTTCTGTGGGCATATTGGACAACATTAAGGTAAATTTAGGGATGTCACCATACAGGCTCGTGTTTGGAAAAGCTTATCATCTACTAGTGGAGTTGGAACACCGAGCAATATGGGTTATAAAATAGTTGAATTTTGACTTAGACTCAGCAGGTAAAAATAGATTGCTTCAAATAAATGAGTTGGAGGAAATTCGAAACGATGCATATATTAACTCAAAATTTTATAAAGAGAAAACCAAGAATTTTCATGACAATTCAATTTTACAGAAAAATTTTACTCTAGGTCAAAAAGTTTTACTGTACAACTCAAAAATACATATTTTTTCTGGAAAATTAAGATCAAGATGAACATGTCCGTTTATTGTAAAATAAGTTTTCTCACGTGGGGTTGTCGAGATAAAAAATCCTAAAAATGATGATATTTTTAAAATAAATGGTCAACGTCTTAAACCATTTTTAGAATTTTCTATGCTCGAAGAGGAGGAGGTGTTGGTTCTCCATAAACTACATTATTTATAAAAAAAGGAAAAATAAAATAAAAAATAAAAATATGAAAAAAAGAAAAAAAAAGAGAAGAATATTTTTTTCCTTTTGTTTATTATTTGATTTTATTCTCATGCTAACGATAATTACAGAATTTTTTTAGCATCATTGTTCTAGGTTCACCGAACAAATGTAAGTTTTTCAATTTTTATCTGCTTTACTTTATGCATAAGAGAATTTGCATTGAGGACAATACAAAATTTAGGTTTGTGGGTAGGAAGTAGTTATTTTTCCTCTTTATTTTATCTCTTTGTTGCATTTTTGTCATAATTTTTCTTTTTTTCACCACCTAAAATAAATTTGTCACTTGCCAAATTAATAGAGTTAAGTAATAATTGATCTATTTGATAAATTTTAAATTTTCTAATCCGTAGTTAGTAATTTACTCAAGTTCACCTTATATGATAACTCTAAATAAATTTCTTAAAAAATAATTTTTCAAAGTAGTGTGCTTTACTTAAGCATTAACTTAGACTTTTAATTAAAATAATAAAATTTTTGCATGCTTAACTTAGACTTGAAAATAATTTTTTTCAGGTTGTCTTTATTTATATATTTTTTCAGACTATATATATACATGCACACATATATATATATTAAAAAAACTAACCTTGTAAAAGAAGAGTTCAGAAAATGGGCACAAAAAAAAAACTCTTAAATTCAAGGTGATTCTATCTTATAAAACCTAAGTTGACTGAGTAATTAAGTCCAATGAGTATTTCTATACTTAATGACCTAAGCCCAATTGGGTTGGGATTCATTGGCATAAAACTCGTTAAATGGTTACTTAAAAAGCCCAATTAAATAGAAAAAAGCACCAATAATTAAAGAGTGAGAAATATATATATATATATTGACTTGGTTTTGTATTGTTATAATGAAAATATTTTCTAGGAGATTTACCTTAGAGTTATATATAAAAACGTTTTCTTGAGTATTAACTAGCTTCAATTAGAATGTCTAAATATATCAAAGAAAACAAGTTATTTACTGACTTCTTTAAATTGGTAAGTTGATCAAATTTTATGGGTATATTCACTACAAACCCTAACTAGACTTAACTCATCCGCTAGGGTAACCTAGGGGTTTAAAGATTTGTTGTATGTGCTAAATACAACCGCGATTCCTGTGAAAGTGAGTTAGGATTTTTAATTTGTTTCTTTGCTAGAGGACTAGCAAAAATTTAGACGTGAGGGTATTTGATAATCACATTTTATTATAATTTTATACCCTTATTATCTATTTTTAATGAATAAATATACTACTAATAATTATTTTTACCTTTAATTGCAGGTTAATAAAGAATAAAAGCCCAAGATCACTTCTTTCAACAAAAGCCCTAAAGGATTAATGAAGAATACAATCAACAAGCCCAAAAGCCAAAAGCCCAAAGCCAATACAAGAGAAATTCAGTGGGAAACAAAAGGAGAAGTCTGGGCATCGATGCCCCCATCGATGCCCCTATCGATGGAAACAAATCAGTTACAATCCTAAGACTAAAATTTGATTATTTTGGATAAGATTTCGATCCAAGAGCTCACATTCATTGATGTTTAATATAAATAGGGGTTGAGAGTGAGGGGTTGAGGGTGTGAAAAATTTTGTAACTCCATTTGGAGAGGAGTGTTACTCTTAATTGAGAAGACCTTTTAAAATTATAACTTTTTGTTGCAATCAATAAAAAAAATTTCACCACTTTAAATTTTCTTCTCTTTGTTTGATGATGATGATGGAGATGAAGATCAATTTGAAGGTTTTATTTTATTTTATTTTTCTCTTTTATTTTTTATTTCTTTTTAGTAATTTCTTTCTTATTGCTTATTAGTTTAAATTTATATTCATGTCTTGTAGAGTAGATTTGTTTTCTTGTCTTTATTTTATTTTGTATTTTTAATTTATAGAGTAGATTTATTTTCTTACATTTTTATTTCTTTTGCAATTTAGTTAGATTTCTTTTTTGTTCATAGTGTAAAGTCCTTGTTCTTAATTCTTTGCTTTGTAATTAGTTCTTATTCTTTTCATTTCATTCCTTATTCTTATTTCTTAAGATGCGGAACTAATTTTTGTAGGAATCTTAGAATTACATAAAATTAGCTTTATTTCCTTTACATTGTATGAATTATTCTCTTATGCTTAAAATAATCATGTATAGGATAATCAACTAGAGAACTAATTGATGCTTAAAATAATCATGTATAGGATAATCAACTAGAGAACTAATTGATAGAAGAAGAATTTGATAATCTATGCTTATCTTGAGTGGTTTGATAGGTTATGCTTATAAATTTTAGAATTATTATCTAGTTGTTGTTCTTGTCATGAATATTATTTTTACTTAGATGATAATTTGATAGGTTATACTTTCCTTAAATGATTTGATAGTCTATGCTTAATAAATCTAAAGTAAAATATGATAAGAAGAGAATAGTTTATATGTTGTAATTGAAATTAGCTAGTGGAATTCAATTCTAGATTTTTCATATCTTTAATTGAATCCTCCATCTTTTCTTTCTTGATTTCTCCTTAGTTCTTGATTTTCACTTATTTGTTTCTTGATTTTTATTTTCTTTATTTTCATTTCCTTATGCTTTTATTTATTCTTTTATCATATCCACTCGTCATTGCTATCATCTAAAATCTCATTTATTGACTTTTACACATATTCACAAAACTCCTCATATCTCTCCACAATCACAATTTTCATCACTCCTAATTATCACACACAAAACATAAGAACCGAATCTAATTTTCTCCTACAAACACCTTCCTCATGGGATCAGTAACTTTTTATACTATAACTTAATTAATTGTGCACTTGAAACTTTTGGTACAAATTTATGCCCCACTAGTGCAATATAGAATATATGAGATTAGACAGCCATGTGTATAATCACCTTAAAATGAATTGTTTTGAAAATACTAGGTTTAAATGGGAGAGAACAAATAATAATATGGCTTTTTAAGGTGTGAGATACATTTTGGCAATTTTTGATAAGTTTATTACCAAAATCCCGTTTTGGATTGCCGAGTTAAGCTTTTGTTGTCCACCTTAAACTAAACGTTATTGTTATTTAATCTAAAATAATTTAAAACTTGTTTAAGAGCATTAGGATTTCAGTTTTCATTTATGCATGGCTGTACGAAATATGCATATGTTTTGTTTTTGGTGGTGGTGTGGGGGAGGGAGGGGGTGTTTCTGATAAAATATTAAGTTTAAAGGGGTTTTTTATTATGATCACCAAAAGTTAAGAGCTATTTTCTAATATTTAATCTATTTTACTACGTGTTACTATTTATTATTTGTTATTAAGTTGTTGCAAAGAGTTTTTTTAAAATAAATATTATATCATGTACGCATCTCACGCATCGGGAATACTATATATCATATTACTATATATCATATTACGAAATGCCATAAAAAATTAATTTAATTGGAAGAAAATTTTCAAATGTTCATTCAAAAAGGAAACTTAGCCGACGGTGACATCCATAAATTTATGAAAAGGAAAATGATACAGCCACACCATCAACAACACCTCTTTTCCTGCTACAGTGCAACGGGCCCGCTGCACTATAGCAGGAGAGATCTGTAATGACCTGTTACGAAAAACCAAAAACTAAAATCGTTGTAATAAAATTTTCTTCTAACATCCAACTTCCGAGTCTTTACCAGTTTACAGCGCACACGTGCGAGTGCGCCCACTTGATGCGTTGAGGTCTCAGAACCTTCGAAAATTCTCACCCCGCAAAAGCCCCGCAGCCCCCAAAAATTTCCCCCAATTTCTTTCAACTCGCGTGTTTATAGCAACCCCCCAAAAGGGCGAAAAAGATGAAAACCCTCGGCAAAAATTCCCAAAATTTGCTCATCAAATCAGAATCTCGGGGTTCTTCGATTGCTTAAAGGTTAGCTTTTCAAACTCCAAATTTCTCTTTTTTGTACTGATCGAAGCTCAATTTGATGTTTGGATTTGGGTTATGATGTACGGTAAACAGTAATGAGGGTTTCTAATCGAATTCGATATCCAAACCCTAGCAAATTGTTTCCCGCTGCATTCTTATTAGTGTTCATTGAGTAATGATCGACCCACTGGTTTCTGGTTTGCATTGCTAAATTTGTTAATTTTAGCTAATCTTCGGAGTGATTGGTTTCCCTTTGGCTTGTAATAAAATCTATGGTTTGATTTCTGTGATTACTGATATAAAGGATCTGCTTTCTTTATTAGGGTTTACGTTACTTGGATTAAGTAATCGGTTTTCGACAGTGAATCGTGATCGCATGATCACATAAAATCCGGAGCTTAAATTTTCGTTTTTCTTGCAGTTAATAAGTAATTTTTTTGGCCTGCAGATCGTTCACATCTGCTATTGTAATTGATCAATTAACATGTGTTTAAAAAAAAATTTGGTACAATTTGCGATTTTTATCTCTTTTCTTCTTCTATTTAAATTTGAACTAACTTCTCCGAACAGTTCAATCTTTACTGAGTAAAAACGATACATATGTTGTTGGGGCTTTTGCCTTTTCCGAATCTTAAAATTTGACTTCAAGTTTTTTAACAAGCAACATTTGATGACTATTTGAATATAAAAAGTGCCATCTTTCTTGTGGTTCTGTGGAACTGATGCGTTTTCTTTATTTGAGTTAAAGAAATTTATCCTGTTACCGTATGATTATACCTGTGATAAGTCAACGTTTTCCGACTGAAAGAGGACTAAATTTTCTTTTGAGTAGTCAACTATTTTTGTGATTATAAGATATTTCGGGGTCAAAATACCATCTTGCATGAGACTTCTTTCTGGTCAATTTCTTGAATCGGTTAACAATAGTGTTATTCAAATACTAGTTATAATTGTTGATTTGTGATATTTTGATTACCTTCACTTGTCTAGTATGACAACTTCACTAGAAAACTAAATGTGTATTCATTTTTCCCAATGAGGGTTGCCCATATTTTCCCTCTTTAGCTATTAATGAATCAGTATATTCTTCCTTTTCTTAATAAAAATTGTAAGTTCAGCTGATTGACTTGATTGTCTTCATTTTGTTCAGTAACCTAATCTACAGCATTTTCTCTGCATAGCGTGGCATTTTAAGCAAGAACAGGTTATCAGTCTTCACCAGAATTCTATTTCCGCGGTGTCGTATTTAGTGGTATATTGGTGACTGCGCATCAAAATTTGTGGTCAAAATGCCATCTCGCTCACAGTTCTCTCGAATTGACACTCAAGAGCTCAAATCACAGATCTTTAGGAAACTTGGGCGCCAGAAAGCTGAAAATTATTTTTATTACCTCAAGAAACTGCTGAACTTAAAACTCAGCAAGTTGGAATTTGAAAAATTGATGCACAGTACAATAGGGAAGGAAAATCTTTCTCTTCACAATGTGTTCATCAAGTCAATCCTTACAAATGCTTGCCTTTCTCATGGCCCACCCAACAGACAGACAACAACTGGACACTCTCGTAATAATAAAATGTCTAATGGGCAAATTGGAGTCATGTTTCCTATGTCACCTCGGAAGGGAAGGTCTGTCACTAGCCGAGATCGCAGGCTCAGCGACCGTCCAAGCCCGCTTGGACCTCACGGGAAGGTTGCAAGTGGAAATGCCCAGGAAGTTACTAATTCTTGCGATCCTCAAAGGTCAAGAGAACAAACTGCTCCTGAAGTGATATCTATTGGTAGCAAAGCTTTATTAGAAGTTGTATCTGTGGAGGATGGGGAAGAGGTCGAACAAGTTAGAGGCAGTCCAGGTGTTCAAAGTAGAAGCCCAGTAACAGCTCCTTTTGGGTTGAGTTTTGGTAGTCTACCTCGTAAATCACTTCATAACGGTTCAGCTGCAGTTTTTCGTCTGTCTAAACCAAATTCTTCAGAAATGTGTCATACAAGCTATGAACTTCCTGATACGAGCTCTTTGAGGAAGCATTTGGAAGCTAAATTGGAGCATCAAGGTCTCAATATATCGGTTGACTGTGTTAATTTATTGAACAATGGGTTGGATGCATATTTGAAAAGATTAATCTCTCCATGTGTGGACTTGGTTAGATCAAGAAGCAGCGATGTGATTATGGACCGGCAAAATGTGAACTTTAAAAGGAACATGAATGCAGTGTTGCATGAAGAACATGGGCAGAGAGCACAACAGTCTCATACTGCCTCATTGCTTGATTTCCAGGTCGCAATGGAATCAAATCCTCAGCTGCTTGGTGGAGACTGGCCAATACAGCTTGAGAAAATTTGCTCATTTCTTGGATGAGTTAGTTATTGCTTGGACCTGGCTATGACCATTCTAGGATTATGATCCGCACTTGAAAGAATGCAGATAAATTGGTGTGGAGCTTGAAGAAATAACTAACAATCTACTCCATAACAAAGGAAATGTATAGGTTAGAAGTGTCGACTAGGACTTTCAGCTCACTGATAAATTTATCTCGAAACACTTGAATTGGGGAATCTGTCGATTGCAAAAGTTCTCAATCAGAAAAAATAAGTTCCACATGGAGCGGCATCTTCTGATGGTAGACAACATGTAAACCTCTTTTGACTCAATTTATGCTAAATTCAATCAGCGTTATAATTAGTGTAGGTGCTCTTGTTCTTGCTATGTTATATTTTACACTTGTTACCAGTGTATTTCTCTTTTTTACCTAAAAATATTTCTTTTAGTTATAAATTATTTCTTTTGTTTAAAGCTTTTTCCAGTATGTTGTCTGACACGTGGAATCAATTAAAAACATCCTTAAATCATTTTAGAAACCTTTGGTTATGAAGTGTTGTTATTAACCTAGTAGTCTTCTGCTATTTATTCTATTCATCCCTGAGTTCGTAGGTAGACCGGGCCTAGCTTTTCCAATACAATTGCTTTTCTCAACTAGGGGAACTATGATTAAAATTTGCAATAGACTTGATTTATTCGCCCATATTGACATGTGAGAGACTTGTTGGGACGTATGCAAGCAGCAAGGGAAGTGCTTTATACAAGGCTTTGCTCAATTAGATAAACAAGGAAAGCTTGATATTTTCATGGTTTACTTTGTGAGGCAAAAGGAATGCAGATAGGGATATTAAATATTTACAAAACAAATGCAGTTTACTTTATAACAGTAATGCTTGCTTAGTGATGTTCTTTTAAAATCATCCCAAGTTCCCAAAAAAACTTGAGCACTTAATCTAAGTTCTGAATTTTTCTTACAACTTCAAAAGCAATTGAGTTGAATTTCAATTTAGGGACCTAAAAGTCATTATCCTCCACTATCATAACTTGCATAATTGCATGGACACTAAGTTTTAAAAAAAGCATACAGAGTGAGTTGGGTTTAAAACAAATAAACTTCAAAGCGCAGGTACGAAATAATTTTCTAGATAAAACTTACATTAAGTGCAAAGATATCTATCCGTATACAATGAAAAAGTTAATGCACACATGTCAAACTCCCAAAAAAAAAACCATATTCAACCTGATATAAACTCCTAGAAAGTATACATCCGTATTCATATACAACCAGATATATAATTTCATACCTTTATATGCATCTGGACCGGATTTGAATCCAGATGCAGTTGAATGTATCCATATCCTGTTGCAGTCCTACCCAGGATTCTCAACTAGCTACAATATATAACTCTGGAACTCACAGAATTTACTAGTGGCAGTCTCTATGCATTTCTTATTCTAGTTGTTATAGTAACTTGGTCAAGTTTCTTGCTTGATCATTGAACTAAGGGGAGCGTTGGTCCAAAAGAAAACTAGTTTTTAGGGCCAGAACTGAATGGAAAAAATGGCTTAATTCTAGCCCACCTTTGCCAAACTAGGAACTAGTATTTGGGCAAATGTTGTCTCCACTGAAACTAGTTTTGTGGAGTTGCCAAACGCCTGAATGATCGTAACTTGGCAAATAAAAGAAAACTATAGTTTTCATGTTTGGGCATTGTATATGTGCACGCAAGTTGGTGTGCATGTGGGTGGGTTGGAGAAGATCAGAGCTTGATAAAGCTTGCTATATTCAGTGATAAAGGTGGCAACTTTTGTTCTTTTCTACATTACATTAGAGGGGAGTTATTTATATTTGCCTGATGAAGAGGAAAGGAAAAAAAAAATGATCTGTATCTTCATTATGCATCTTGAGAAATAATCACTCACTTCTTGCTAAATTTCATTACTATTTTTGTTTAGACTTAATACTGATTGTTCAATATTGCATGTAGGAAGTCAGAGAAGAGTCCCAATTTTCACTTTCATGTCATGCTTATCCTCCAACTTTCCATGCATTGTAAGATAGTATGTTTTAACTATTAATCATTTGTGCATTGATTTACAAACATAAATGCAGCAAATAGCAATTGGTTTAACTGACTGTGCTTATTAATTTTAAACGACGAGCTCTGCATCTGGATAAACATAGTAGTTGAATTCGTTGATGAAAGGTGGTATGAATGTTAGTTACTTGCAAGTAATGGATTTTGCTTTAGGTACATGAGTAATAAAGCATAAAAACAGTTGGGACCTCTTAACTTCCAATCAATACTGCTGAATTTGCAAAACTGTGTGATACTAATTTGCAGATGTTGACCTAGCGAAGCCCAGTCCTGATTGAACTTCAGGGAAGCAATAGAGTGTCTAGGAAGAGCCATAGATCTACTCCATAGATTGACTCTTATGCTTATTTTCTCAAAAACATCATCTACTTCTTTATTATTAATTTAGTGTTGCCGGCTACCAGTGTGGATAGGAGTGATCAACTTTGCCATTTTCTGTACGTTAGAGTTTGCGAAAGGAGTACTTGGGTCTTATATGTAAATTTCAGTCAAGGTTTTTCTTTAAATTTCAATGTTTTAGATTAATACACATGCAAAAAGTGAATGAGGTCGTAATCGTATACCCTTTTTTTTTTCCTTCTTTAACATATTTTGTTCATGTACAAAACCAATGAAGATCATTTTTCTTCATCATTAATGTGCTAAATCATTGTGCACCAGATCATCATATTCTTAGTAGTATGACCTGTACATAAGCATGGAACTGTGAGCTTGCAGGAAGATTTATGAAATTGCAGTATGCTTACTTGTATACGTTGATGCAAGGCAGAAAATAAACACTCCTCTGAATGGAACCAAAAACAATGTGATAAAGCATAATGCTTATCCGCATGACTCGGAAGTATGATGACAATTGATGTCTACCATCTGCTGTAATATGGAAACCATGACTTAATTATGTACTTTTGGTGTGTTTCGAGGACAACACTTCCCATGTGTCTGTCATTCATGAATTTGCGTTAGTTCGCACTAACATCTCAACTCAGATTAGCAAACTAGCCAGTCTTACTCTTATGCTATAAACATACTGTTCCAAGTGTCCGACTTTGATATTTGATTTGGAAGCCTCATCCAAAGAGAGAAGTTTTGAAATATGGCTTCTTTATTTGAGTTCATTTCCTTCAATCCAAATGTTTGAAACAAACTTAGGAAAAATGTGAAAAGAAGTATTGAAGGCCATATGCTATATAAAATACTAAATGATACTATTTTAAACCTCATCTTGCATATTCAGTATAGTCCATTGCCTTCAATATGCAAAGAAGTCCTAATAATGTGGAAGTTTAGAAACCTAATATTGTGTGATAATTCAAGATAAGTTAAAATACAAGTTATTGCACTTGTGAAAGATTTGAATTCATAATTTGAGTTTGTTTAGGCAAAGCTAAAATTGAAGAAGTGTTTTTATCCATGTGGGTAAAAGTAAATTGTAGCATTATTTCATGGAAGATGTGAAGGACTAACAATCTATTGAGTTGGTCTTGCATGTTGCAGCAGTGGTACCATAGTGAAGCAATTGAAAGAGATCAATCATGACTAACACCCTCGACACCAAATATGTTACTGCTGAAAGGTACATACAGATATCTCCCATCTTCTTTTGTCATGAAGGAATCAGTTGATACATTTACTTTTTTTCTTCTTTCTATTGGTCATTGGATGACCTTAGCCAGATACCAATGCGTGCCTATATTTTTCTCTTCATGAATTGTCCACTGTACTGATAGGTTCTTTCTTTTACTATGTACAATGTTATCACATTTTCTTTAGGTTTGTTTTTTGTCATTAGAAAATACCAAACCTTATCTGTGAAGTAGTATCTCTTTAGCTCTTCCGTTATTTCATTAGCATCATTTTTCGTGTTTAAGATGTTTAGTTTGTCTTTAGTTATTTTTTGTTATGTACCTCCAAGAAATATTCATAGATCATGATTAAATGACTTGATCCCCACTCTGTTGCTACCCCTACCAATGAAAATCATAATGTAGTATGTATTTACATGAGGCTGACTCATTTAATTATGGATCAGATTTTATTACCTCAAAAACATATATTTCAGTCATGCCTCAAGTCAGCTCTCTAAACCTTTTAATAATGATTAATGTGGAGTAGGATCAGATCAAGCTTGATATGACAAAACTAACTCATCTTGACAATTTAACTTAGGCCTGGTAATTAGACAATTTAGATATCTATCTCTGTCGGTGGCTTGCTAATATTTGTGTAGTAGGACACTTGACGTAAGCGGGTCAAAGATATGCCAGGAAATCTGCCACAGGTTGAGGTCATGATTCATAGTTTCTTTGGTCTTGATTCTTGAATAACATTTTGTCATAAGAACCATTATACTTTGCATCTTTCTTTTAAGCATGTCATAAAATTTATCTTCCCGACTTGCTTCCTTGAAGTCGCATTTCAACTTTCGATATCTTGACCTTGTGGATGAAGTTTGATAATGGATTCATAGTATTAAGTTCGAGGAACCACTAAGCGTTAAGTCGATACTATGAGGCTCTGATGTTGAAGGTACTTTGTTCCAGTCTGTTTTCTTATTAACTGGTTTTCTTATCCTCATCCTCACAAATATATCGTATTGGATAGAGCACCTTCCATGACATTGGCCTGTTTGATGCAAGGTTAGGCTGACGTGTATTGGCTGTATCTCATAATTCTTATCATATTTGAAGCATGCTGATTGATTCAACTGACACATATCGATATCACCAATATTGAATAATGGCAACCAGTTTATGATGATACTTGCAAATAAAAACTAACAGCGTCAGAGCCAAGAAAAATTGATCAGTTATATTATTTAGCCACGACATCTTAGGACTTTTCAGGGGGAAAAAAACTAGATGCTAAAGTGTGTAAGTTGTAACATGAACCTTGTTAAGATTGTTTTTATATGTGTGTATAGGCCCAATAAGGCCCATGTCTTATCCATATATTTGTATCATATTCTCATATCAATACTACATACAATACAGATCAATATTTTCTCAATTATCATGGTATCAGAGTTGCAATTTCAAATCAATCCTAGCCATCCATAAAATCCATCCAAAATTTTTCAACCATTCATCTAAACGAAACCCTACAAACCCTAACCCTAGAAATCAGCCGCATTGGCCCACTGTCGCCTGTGCCGTCGCCACATTAGATGTGGGCAGTTGTCGTCAAGATCGAGGAAACCCATCTCTCCTATCACTGAACCCAAATCTGTCGCTGTCGAATCTAGCATATCATCTAATTGTCCCGTTGTCGAGATCAAGGAAATCTCGCACCCGTCGTCAAACTGCATGTCATCAAACTCGCCTCTTGCAGAACTCATAGTCGTCATCAATGTTTTAAATGTCGGATGTGTTCATAGCGGACGACTGAACTCTATGTCGGATAGCGGAAATCGGTGATATATTGGGGGACATAGACTAAATATCGGATTACCATATCGGGTGGTGCACATATGTATAATATAATATCCTAAATGTAATCTAAGCATTCCTAAATTCAATATAAGTATATTTTATAAATTCTAGAGACGGCGCCGACGATGAGTGGATTCCGACGTCGTAGGGAGGCAGTACTGGGACTTTTCTTCTTCTTCTTCGTCTGCTCAGGGTCCTTCGGATAAGTCACCGACCACCCTTTCCTTTATATCCCGACGACGGGATACCCTACTGCCCTCGGGTTCGGTTGTGGTTCGGATTTTTGGGCGTAACGGGAGATGAGCGACGGGGGCCGAGATGAATGTGGGGGAATGACGTCGTCGTTAACAAAAGGAGTGATGGGTTACCAAGTCCGCTGTAGCCTTAATTTTTCTCTTTTCTTTCTATCGGGTTCATAAGAAACCCTTAAACATGAGAACGGGTCAAACGAGTTTGGGTTTTTATCACTAAACCCAAACCCGATAACAAAAAATAGATCTAAAAAAAGGGTCATATCGGCTGATTTTTCAAAGCTGAAAAATCGGCTGATATGCCGGATATGACCTCGATATTTTCGATTTGGCCCTGAAAACCGACATACGAGTTGAAAACGCTCATGTTGTGTCGCTCAAGCCTTCAAACCGACATGTTGGCATGTCGGCCGACATTTAAAACCTTGCTTAAACATATAGGTGATCTATCTAATTAATTAGTTAGAAAGCTTAATTTGATCCTATGGTGGAACTAGGGGGTTTAATGAAATTTATTTGCGTAGAAAATTTTGAGAAGAACCTGTGTTAATCTGTTACTCCCATGGTGTAGTGTCCCATAGTGCTTACATTTAATTTGATGAAAATGTACCTTGAATGTGTTTTTTTTGTAGTTTTAGGTGACCCACTTCAAAAATTGGGGCCTCCCCTCCTTTCCTCCCTCAATTAGTGCTAAATGTACTAAACTTTCAATACTGAACTACTAATTTGGAGAACTAATTTATTGACCTTTTAATTTTATAGTTTTTTCTTTTTAACACTTTCTGCCGCATCTCTTTATTCTTCTTCTCCTTCTATCCTTGCTATCTGTAATTACTAATTTCATGGATAGTGTGAAAATTTTCCTAGTGAAAGTTGGTCCCTTATTTTTTAAAATTGTATGTAAGAGAAATATCAGATTGTTTTATTTCAGAACCAATATACT